TAACCAATAGGGACAGAAACAGAAGGTTTGGGACACATGGGTTTATGTGGATCATGACCTCAATATTGATCACGTTATTTACATGTGCTTGAAAAACACGATCACACACATGTGAATCACATGTGAATAAATGAGATTGGATCCTAAAGTCATGAGAGCTGCTTGAAACTCCATGTGTGAAACCAGTAGGCACAAGCCTTAAAACCGTGTAAGCTTTTAATGGGAGCGGAAGATCGCAGTGAAGAGTCTCGGCTGTTACGCAAAAGGGTTGCATTGCTGTTCCTTGCTCAGCATCTGCACCATGTCTGCAACAGCAGCACAATATGAAACAACAGTAAGAGAAATCAACATTAACATCACCAGAACCCCTCTCCCACCTACAGAAAGACCAAGCAATTGCATTGCTCACTTGTTCTCATGAATGCAGCCAGGCAAACATACCCACATATTGCCCACCTGGGTTTTATCCATTTTTGCTTCTTGGTCTCTTTTTCACCTACCGCAAACAAGCGGAGCTGCCCAGCTGCTGCATGAGCAGTTCCTCCCCCTTTCCCTGTGGTGCTCTCGGTGCCGGGGATGAGGCACGCCAGGCAGGGCTGAGCACCAGGCACAGCTTCCCCCATCCTGCCCAAGATGGGCACACCCACCTGCACTTTGGGGGCAAAAGCCGGACCACGCACCTCTCCTCTAATAGCCAAGGTTCAGAGCAAAGCTTGAGAGGTTGGAGGCCATTTCATATCTTTCCTCCCACAGGCATGACAAAACCTTCCCATTTCTGTCTATTGTTGAGCTTAGCTTAGTTTGCAGTTAGAGGACTTTCAGAAGGATAAATGTATGCTAATGAAGAGGGGTGAGGGGCTAGCTGGATTTAAGGTTTGTATCCAAGGTTTCTAGCCAGAGTCAAGTAAAACCTCTGGTGTTTCCCAGACTTATGTTCATTGGCCCCAGATGATGTTCCATGCCTGTAGCTGACTTCTGTAAATCCTATTTTTAATCTGTTTACCTATCTATTGCCCACCTAGTTTTTTATCCAGAGAAATCCCTATAAAGAAACAGTAGATACATTAGTGGATCTGAACTAAAACTCCTGCTTTGGTGAATATTTGGGTATGTTATGCCATCCCAGGAGGTGCTGGGCAGCTGTGCTCAGGGGCTGTTGATCCAGGACCACCACAGCCCCAGCTGCATTGCCAGACAGTGGGAAATCCCAGGCAGTTTCCTGCACGGGGTGGCAATGTTTCCCTGCAGTAAACCCATGGCAGCCACCCCTTCCCACAGGCTCGAGGTTTCTCCATGCACACGCACCTCCAGCACTTCACATAGCTAGAAACCATCCACCAATTCCTGGTCCTGTCTCCCAGCCTTCCTGCACTCCCCCTCTACTTGCCACAGCAGAAATAAGCCCAGAGGAGAGACAGATACTCTAATTAGGCGGTTCCCTGGAAGGATCCCATTTTATGAACAAGCACAGGGTGGACAGCTTTTTTTGCAGGCTATGAAATGTGCTGTGGGCTTGAAAGGGATGCCTTGGGTTGTTGGAGGGTAATGACAAGGTGGACACTAAATGTCAGGGCAGATGGATGTGATTCTTCTCTTCCCTGGGGCTTTTGCAAGGCAATGGGAGAAAGGAAGTTTTTTTCCAGACCAGGATGGCAAGGTGCAACCTGTTTGCAGGGGCAGCCAGATCACTTCATGCAATTAAAGGACCTTCATCAAAGCCACAGGGATCTCCCAATTCTCTTCTCCAGCTGCAAGAATTGTGCTTTTGTTTAAAAAAACAATAAAAAACAGGAAACAAATCCTGCTATTGCCTTGACCTGCCTTTGCAGGGAATTGGCTGGTTCTCAAACCAAAAGTGTCTTTTCACGCTGGGCAGCCTCATCCCCACAGCTGGCCATCCATGTGCTCCTACCCATCCCCTGGCAGACCCACAGCAGCACTCAGAATCGATGGCCAGTGCTATATGTCCTTCATTGTTGAGCTTCAGACCTTGCCCCAGTGAAGTCAGCCCAACGTTTCGTGTAAAAGCTCAACTTCTGGAACTACCACCTGCTCTAAGGACAGTTCATCTTCTATGGAGACCGCAACAACTTGAGGTGCCATCACCCTGTGCTGCCAACGGGCTCTGGTCATGCAGGGTAAAAGAAAGGACCAGCCCTGCTGGAAACTGGGCAAATTTGGCCTTAATGCCTTTCAGCCAAGGAAGATAAATAATGACAAAGAGGATGACGGACACGGTGCCACGTTTGAGTTGAACAGACGGGAAGGTGCCCGGTTGCTGCGGCAACAAGGCTGGGCTTTCGGAAAGATGGGTTTTTCTTTCTCTTTTCACATGCCAATCTCCCCCCCACGTCAGCACTCTGCCGCTGCGGGAGACGAGCGGTGACATTTACACTCCCACTAACAAGCTGGTTCGGTGATGGGCAGCTCTGCGGGAGAGCATCTGGTGTCACAGAGCCCGAGCAGAGAGGAAGGGAGAGTCCTCTCAAGCAGTTAGCATAATTTGGGACTTTTTATTATTATTATGAGCATTATTAGGGCAGGAGTGTGCATGGAAACAGCAGGCAAAGCCTCGGTGGGGCACACAGTGTTTCCTACCATTTGTGTGGGTCTGGTCCTGCAGCCGATGGGAGCAATGAGATACCACTCCCGCCCAGAGAACGTCTCTGCATGTCCTGCTGGGAGAGGGAAGGAAACAAAAAGGAAAAGGAGAGGATGAGCAAGAAGTCAAGCGACACCACAGGAGCAATTTCACGTCTCAGCCTGGCTCATGATAGCAGGCTGTGTCATCAGCCGTGCCCCTGCAGTTCGGTGTTCCTCAGTGCCCTGCTGAAGCTGCCCATGTCTTTGGCTCCTTGGGAGGAGCCTTGTTATGGTGGCAGAGGGGAAGCTCAGGCTGCTCTGTCCCTCCTGGCAGGTTTGCCCACCGCTGTGCCTCACTATGCTTTCCTTTGCCTTCTGGATAAAACAACTTTCAGTTCACCCAAATTGTCCCAATAATAATAGTAATAGTAGTAATAACAGTAATAATAGTAATAATAATAAAAGCAATAATAATAATGTTACTGCAAAGTAAATGCAAGAAAAATACAACAGCTCTGAAATTAGTTGTATGAAATAGTGGTGCAGGAAACTGCTTTGTGTCATCTCCTCTCTCTTACTGGTTGATTTGCTGCTGGCATCAGGAAGAAAGTGGAAATTAAGATCCAGCAGCCTTTCCTGGCTGCCAGACCACTCTGCCATTGCAGCCGGCTGAGAAGGTGCCCTGTTGGATCATGACTGCCAAACTGGGGGTGGAAATACAACAATATTGTGGCCAATAAAACTTGAAATTTGTGTATTCCCATGCCCGGCAGAGCCAAGGAAGCCAGATTTCCTAAGGATCTGTGGCCGCAAGTCAAGGACCCCTGTGGAGTATCTGATGCCTAGTATGGATTGCGCTGATACATTTATTTGAGTGAGAGCATTAATAGGTTTTCTCTTCTCTACAGTGTCATTCTTTTTCACAAAGCTTGGAGGTTCCTGATATCTTGGAGATCTTCACCCTTCTGTCAAATCAAGGTGAAAGTATGGGCTGAAAATTATTAGTAAGATGCAGACAAATAGTCTGCTCCACCTCCTTGCCTGTCCCCATCCTTCCTTCTGAGCGCAGAACATGTGCTAATCAGCCACTTTTCATTAAGAAGCCAGGCTAAAAGATTAGGATGTCAAGGAGGGCAGCCCTCCACTAGTGTCTTTGTCCTTCCCTGAAGCTGGTGCAGCCCCTTCAGACTGAATTTGAAGAGGCAAAGTACCTGATGTGTTGTAACTCAATTTTCTCAGAGTAATTGCTCCACTTTTTTAAATCTTCACTAAAAAACTCCCTACATATTTCAGCTGGTGCTTAAAAGTATACCCAGTAATCTGCAGAGAAGAGATGACTGAACAAATGTACAGTCAAGCCTGGGGGAAAAAATGTACGAAGGCAGATTATAAAAGACCAGATAAATAATCCTTCAAATATGGAAACTGCAGAAATTAAGAGGATATTTGCAGAAATTTCTCATTACAGAGAGCACACAGGAAGCATCAGCAAGATTACAGACTGGCCAGTGTATGAAGGTTATACAAGGGAGAAACCAAACCTGTCCACCAGTGGCGACCATCACGTCTGCAGCGGTGCAACGCACGCAGGGACAGCGGCGAATCTCTTGGCAGCGATGTCAATCAGCGAAGCATGGAAAATGAGATCACTTGTGGAGTTTTTTCCAGTGACCAAAACTCTATAGGGGTTACCCCTAACCAAACCTCAGCATCTTTCAGCAGAAGGTTCAGGATGGAAAGTTCCTCCCTGTGGCACTAGAGCCTGCAGTGAGAGCTCCAGCTGAGCAGAAGCTTTGCAGCTCACATGGGTAGTGGGACCAGATGAAGGAGCAGTAGAAAGAAAAACTTTTTTTTAGTATTCTTGACTGGAACCCCCTTTTCTATTAAAAAAAAAAAAAAGTTAAGTTCTCTTCTGTAACAGGAGGGGTTTTTTTATTTTGAAAATTGAAATGTTTTCATGCTAATACTGCAAAAGACAGAATCCTTTTGCAAAACGTACTTGCCTGAAGGACAGTGCTGGTGCCAGGCAGAGTGCTCTTGAATCAAAACCTTCCATGCTCATGTTGATGTTTGGTTTTGGATCCTTTCAACATCATTTCAATATAGTTTTCTGCTTCCTGAATCCTTGGTCTTCCCAAAAAGTGTGGGTTGCTTATTGTAAAACCTGCCAAGCAAAGCAAGTGAATCAACTGTCCTACAAGGGCAAGGAACAAGCTGTGCCACCCACCAGTCCACATGTCCATGGAGTAGCAGGGAACACCATGAACCATGCAGAGGCTTCATTCCCAACTGCAGACACTTCTACAGGCATAAATATTATTCTTTAACTGTGTGGCTGCATCTCAAATGATCCATATGTAATTTTCCTCCCATGTCCAGGGAGTGGGGCTGTCAATGCTGGTCAGACCCTGGTCACTCCAACAGATTTGCGCTGACCTGTTGGGTTTGCCCTGGTGACTCTGTACCAGCAAATAGGTATTGAGTCGATATTGCAGAGCAGCGACAAGCATGGAGCAGGGAACCTCTGTCTGATTGCACTATAGAGAAAGCGTGTCCTAGAAACAGGAGCCTGGTACACAGAGCTGAGCCAAGCTTTTGGGTCCTGCTGCTGCCCAGATTATCCCAACACCCCAACTCCACCTGGTCAGCATGGAGGAGAAGGTTTTGAGAGCTGCACCGAGTGACATCAGGGTTAGATGTGGGGACTCGGTTTCCCTAGCAGTGAAATGAATCTTTCTGAGACTCGCCTCTTCCCCAGAGAGCCATGACGATTCATTAGGCAATTGTAGAATCACAATGTAGCTGCTGACTGTGAGTTGCGGTCCATTAATAGCCCTATTTATTGCCAACCAAATAATTAGCTTAGACATGCATCAACGGGTCTTGATTGCATATGAAATAACTGCCTTATTACACAGAAATCAAATGCGTTTCTGAGGACAGCTCAGGTGTCACCTCAACCTCAGTATTGAAGAGGAAATGAAAAAAAAAAGAAAAAAACCCAGCCATTTCTATGTGTTGCTCAGCAACAGAATTTGCGGGGGAAACAATCTAGGAATGAAGGAATGAGCATTTCCAAGAGAACGGGTTATTTCAGGCGAGACATCAGGGACAAGCAAATATCACAGAGGCGGAAAACTTTTTTTTTCCTCCTTTAATCAATAATTTAAACTAGGCATTTTGGGTAAAATAAGCATTTAAGTTAGCTGATTGAAAAACGTAGATCCCAAACCTTTACAAAGAGTCACATTCCTGAAGAAATGTTTATTTGTTTGTGTGAGGGAAATACTAGATTTACTAGACACCGAATTCAAAATTGAAAATGCTCTTAGAAATGTCACCTGTTCATTTAAAGAGGGAGATGATGTAATGCCATCGTTGCTATATTGTGCAGCATCCCTCCTGGAGCAATCTCATGTTAATTTTGTTGTTCTCCTTCCCATGTGCCCTCCCCTCCCTCCCTTCTCCTTTCTCTTCTAGGACAAGACGAGCGCGCTGAGTCTCAGCAATGTGGCGGGGGTTTTCTATATCCTCATCGGTGGGCTCGGACTAGCCATGCTGGTTGCCTTAATCGAGTTTTGTTACAAGTCCAGAAGTGAATCAAAGCGGATGAAGGTGGCAACCCATTCCCCGGCCTTTCACACCTTCTCTCTGATCCTACCCTGACTCCAAAGCTGCCTTCAGAGACGGATGTAGCCCAGCCCATGGGTGGAAAGCCAAGACATAGGGATAACGAAGTGACTGTGTCACTCGACTTGCTAGAAAGGAATAGGAGCATCAGAGGAAGCTAAAAGAGGGTCAAGTGGGCCGTAGCGGGGAGCTGATGCAAGATCAGACATGTGGCATAATGCTAGTTCAAAATCCACATATAGAGCAAAATCATAGCACAAACAGTAACAGGAGCACATTGCCATTCCTTAAGTTAAAGAAAGCAGACTATGGCAATGCGTGTGCAGCATGGATGAATTGTGCTGGGGTTGGTGCAATACAGCCGTTACTGCAAAAAAAAAAAAAAAAAATCCCCAAACCCAAGCAGCTAACAGCAAGATAAAACTGGGGTAGTGCGGTAATGAATCAGATCCTGTTGTTCCCTTTGCTGGCACCCTGCTGGCACTATTTGCAGGTTGGCAACAGTGATACATGCTCAGAGCGTTGTTGCCCTGGAATGGATGGCGTGGGTCTCCAAATTCAGAATTATGGGTCCTCTTAGAGAGAAATTGGCCTCTAATGTCTCCTGTAATGTGTTTTTTTTTTCTCCACCCTGTTATGGTCTTGCAGAAGCATACTTCCTATGACCCAGGAGATTTGTTTCAGCCCTAAATTCTGGTGTGCCTAAATTTCAGAGTGTCATGTCAAGAGTGGATTAGATTTGAAAGCCTCGGGGATACACATTTAATGCAGCATCTGTGGAACAAGTACATCTTGACTCAGATGACTAGCAGAGGCGATCCCTTATACAGACACCATTGTGTACAAGGGTGCAGTGGGATCTGTGCTGTAAGAGTAACACATCCCTTTTCTTCCTCATCTTGACCTCTCCCGTGAGCATGGAAGTTGGTATGAGTATATGAAGTATGCGGTGAGTTTCATAAAATTTAGAGAGATTTTCACTTCCCTGAAACTTACCCAGAATCAAAAGGAAAATAAGCAATCATTTCTTTGGTTTTTATGTCACCATTTCACAACATGCTTAATGTTTTGTCAGCAATAACAACATTCCTAATTCACTGAAAATGTGCAATAGCTCTTTTCCCATTGAGGTTCAGAAAATTCTACAAGCAATGAGAGGTACATTGAGCACAGGGGTAAGATAATGCAAGCAATTAATGTCCCTGAATATACAAAAATTAAATTAAAATTGCTGTCTACACTGTAAAGCTAAGTATGTCACAAATACACTGTGAAGGAGTGTCAGAA